AACAATTTTAACCTTTCAACAAGAAGGCAGATTTAATCATTTTTTAAATCTTTATTTCTGTTGATGGGAATACATGGGCGTCCAGAATACGTACATCATTGAATAGTTAACGTCTTGTGAGAAATCTATTTTATTCTCTATTACAAATTAACGACAACCTGAAAAATAAGAATTAATAATTCAGGCATTTAAAACTATTTTTTAACAAAACAAAAAAATTCCTCTTAGCCAAAAGAATATACAAGTTTTTATATGGTATAACAATAAGAATTTAATACCAAGTCACATTCCTTCATAATCATTTCTAGAAAATTAACATTCTTAAAACAAATGTTTCTTTGCAGCAGATTTAGACGTTCTGATTGCATCATTGTAGTATGGAAGCACAGTCTATGTATGAATTCGAAGCTCGTATATACGTATTGATCAGTTTTGGCAAAAGCTTTTCCCTTGCATTTAAACAATTACACACAAAAATGAAAAGTATGCTCAGCTTATCAGCTGCAATTAATGCAGATTTCATTGCTATCCACGATTCTTGTTAAAAAGAACTGACACGCTGTAAATAAGATTTTAAATTCCCTTTATTGAAGTTTTTCCTAGACGTATGATATGTATTGATTTAGACATTATTTTGCAAAGTACATGTCACTTAAGTATGAGCAATCTGTACCTTGTGCCAAGTTTGGTCAAATTCCAACGGTAATTGTTCAGGCAAAGGATTGAGAAGTTGGCTGGCTTTTCGTGTAATACGAACAAGGATATTGTAGGCGGATCTGTGTCAGAACTTCTTATATCTACAGGTATGCATCTCAGAAGCTCTATAATTAATTTGCAAAGGTTTCAATTATTAAAATTTCTTTATTTGCACAAGATGTAAGAATAAATATATTAATTGTGACAAGTTCTCTGTGTGGGCTTTGTTATCTACATAGTGATGTTTCTAAGAGCACAAAGACGTTCTTTTTCAAAATATCAGGCCATTGGGGTGATTTAAACCAATAAAAGTTTGATGTATCCATGTACTTCTGAAAAGATAACGTCATTTACAGAGTAATACCTTTTTTTCAATATGATTCACCATTCTCGCACATAAATAACTTCAGCAAATGTGCAGGAGATTAAATATTTTACTTGCAACATATTTACTCGTTAACTTAAATATGTCAGTAACATAGGTTCATATTTTCTTTAAAAATGATTCATCTCGATGGTTAAATGAATTCAGGAACAGTGCTAGCTAGCGACACCACCAAGTAATCAAAGATTGATTTTAAGGGGGCATATTGCGACCACTCCATCTGAATTTTGTATCAGCTAAGGCTATTTTTATGGAGCTTCTTCACTCTCCATTTATAGAAACACAAACAAAAGTGCAATTCTCCCAGTGCCATAAACCTCAGTTTTATAAGTGAAGTTATGAACTACATTGGACAGGGTCAATAAACAAACAGGTTTACATCTGTTGCAAAGGGTGTAACATTTTGAAGTTATAATAAAAATTAAAGGAACTTCAAACGTCTCCACCCTTTCTCTAACTTTACACATACACACTAACACATTCATAAAGACTGAAATCATTATGTTATAAAGTCCCTGGAAAGGACAGGAGGTTGAAATTTGCTTAATTGTCTTCGTGTTCACAAAGTTAACATACAGTTGTATCTTGCAAAAATATTCAGTCCATTCAATATATCTTCATAATTCTTGGAATTCAATTTATCATGTTTTATCAGATCCTTTGAATTTAATCTCCCCCAAATTTCTGTGGGGAATTTTTTAAAAATAAAAATTCTGTACGCGTCTCACCTCATTTCTATTTCCGCTGATTGAAAACCATTATCTAAGATACATGCAAAGCATGCGTTTTACATCCATGCCAAGGTACAAATTGGTTTTCATGAGCCAGAAAGTTGTGGTAATGTTGATTGAAAATTTATGTTAAATGTCAGTTTATCATTTCAATTTTTTTTAAAGCATATAGGGCATACTCTAAAACCTGGCCTGGCCCCTTTGGCCTGGCCTGGCCTCTAAGTTGGCCTGGCCTCTATCTTGGCCTCTAATTTGGCTTCAAACCAACTTTTGGCCTGGCCTCAAAAGTTGGCCTGGCCTCAGATTTGGCCTCTGTAAAAATTTTTGGCCACAATTTTGGCCTCACTTAAAAATTAATTTCTTTTTCAAAATTTGATTGATTTCATTGATTTTTTATTGGTTTCATTTTTTCAAAGATTAAGCAGGTAAGTAATATATTTCTGTTGATATGTAGATGTGAACATTAAAATAATAATACACTACCACCAATCTGAATTATTTTATTGATTTTCTATTGATCAGTTGCAATTCTGAAGACTTCTCATAGTAAGATTGATGATTTTATATAGTAAAACATTTTGAAACATCAATTTAAATTATCAAGACAGCAAAGAAATGCAGACGGGTAGTAATTACCTAAGAATTAATTAAAAAGAATTTTGAATCTGCTATTTAAAGTATTACTTGTTACATGTCTTATAAACTCTTTATTTAGAATTAAAAAAATCTTTTTGATAAGGTGGACTATTTTTACAAACTGATAGAAAAAATGTCAATACTATGATATACAAGTAATTGGCCGCATTTTATATAATAGGGTTCTAATGGTCTGGTTGATAGGATTCAATTGTTTTACAGCACAGATGTTAATAAACTATCATCAAACTCAACTTTTGTTTTGTTAATTGTAGATAGTGAAAGTTGTAGCAGGAAATTCTTTACAAATCATGGATGGCTTAACAGCCTATGCACATATACATTTCATTGCTGATTAACTTCAACCTTATCTCCTGTCAAGAACCATGCTGCAGAATTCTTTGTCATTAGATATCCAATTACAGTGTTACTGCACAGGAACAGAAAATTATAAATTATCTGATAATGTTATTTATATTAGTTTTTTAAATACCAACTGTTCTGAGATTAAAGTACATGTGAGTTTTTAACAGAGTAATCAAATCAGTATAATATAAACATTTTGGTATCTGCATTGGTATAATTTAAAATTCTTTGGTGTCACATTTAAGATGATGCAGGCATAACAGTAACACAACTCGCTACAGGGTGTGAAAGGTGATGATTCATCACTAAACAAGTGGGAATTTTTCAAAGCTATTAATGACATTTGACATGAATTATTACTATATATTTTTTTTTTCAATGTGCACAATTTGGAAAACACAAAATAACTCTTATACTTTTTTTTCTAAATAATTAAGCAAGAGTGTAGGTAGTGTCAGTATGAAATACCTGTCATCAAATCATAAAATAAAATAAGTGCACACTGATAGATTGATAATCAATAAAATAAATCATATTGGTGGTAGTACATGATTATTTTTAATGTTAGCATTTACATATATCAACAGAAATACATTATTTACCTGCTTAATCTTTGAAAAAATGAAACCAATAAAAAATCAATGAAATCAATCAAATTCTGAAAAAGAAATTGATTTTTGAGTGAGGCCAAAATTGAGGCCAATAATTTTTACAGAGGCCAAATCTGAGGCCAGGCCAACTTTTGAGGCCAGGCCAAAATTTGGTTTGAAGCCAAATTAGAGGCCAAAATAGAGGCCAGGCCAACTTAGAGGCCAGGCCAGGCCAAAGGGGCCAGGCCAGGTTTTATAGTATGCCAGCATATAGGCGGCCGTTCATAAAGCAATGAGGAAGAATAAATCAGAGGTTTGAAGTTGATGATTGATTGAGTGTATGATATTTTACGTACATGTCGAGAAATATTCATTCATATAGGGACAGCACCATATATCGATGAAGGACTTCTTTAGACCTATAATCGGCAATCAGGGCCATAGAGCAGTGAGGATTCTTTATCGTGCCAATGCTTATCGTGCCACAGGATCTTTTTTATAGGTACTAGTATCTGCCGCGACTTTTACTTTCAATGCCGTTGCGATTGAGGAGAATCGAATGCGAGCCTTTCGATCAAGAAGCGATCTTGATCACAGTTTTCAATATTGCAAAATCCCGTGTATGTTTTGGTGACAGTCAAATATTACATTGTTCAAATTGACAGCGATCGGTTGCGTGCATATAGTTGCTGTGTTAAGATTCTGATTGGTTTCTAGATGTAGTTACTTTATTTGTATTAAATAATGTACATGTATATTTCGAAAACATTTTTTCTAACATATGAAAAAAAGAAATTATAACAAATTAAACAGCGAAACAACTTTTCCAAAATCACTGTTCTCACTAGCATGGTCATACATAAAAATGGTCTTTTTCCGGAAAATGGAACAATATGAAATATGATCTATATTAATTGGTAACGCTGTGTCATTGCATGGTTATATCTGAGGTTTAATTATTAATGTGTCGTGTATCTATGTTTTCCTATTGGATGACTGGATTATGAAGTATAGTAGTATGGGTTTCAGTGGTTTGAAGTTTTGTTTCGTGGATGCCATTTTGTCTTTGATTGTTGAAGCCAATACATTGTGTATTATTGCAATGGTTGTGCATATAAGACTGCATCAGAAGATTGATAGGGCGGCAGATAACAGGGTTTGGAACCTGATCACCTTGTTCTGCTGGGCAGGACTTATTGTTCTCCACTTCAATTTAATGTCCTTTTGTCTAAAACATTATAGAATGATGGATTTTGACTGTAATGTTCAAGGGTTTCAAATATCTGGTGACATGTTCAACAGATATGATCTATGAAATAGGTTCTTTGTTTTCTAATGATAATATCATATGAAGGAAGGTATGTTTAGTAATTAAACAACGAACTTCGATATCCTAATTTTGCTACTTAATCAACAATCTTGGATGGATAAATGACATAAGCATGCAAAAAATCTCTCTCTCTCTCTCTCTCTCTCTCTCTCTCTCTCATTGTCATCAAGGCAATGTGAAAGAATACCATGATTAGTTCTTGCAATCTTGAACCATTCTTACTTGTTCATGAAAACAAACGAGTCAATGGAACTTTTCTAGTGATGTGAACTTATGAACATGTACCCGAATTGATCTTTTACAAGTAATAATATATGACCTAGCCATTCAGCTTACCGGCAATATTTATTATACAACAGTTTGAAGACGTTTTCTACAGCTGCAGTAAGTCATAATAACCCTGAGCAGTGTGTTCTCACAATCAATGGTCTTGAAATTCAAGACGCGTTTTTGAATGAAACTAGATATTCTTTTGAAGAAAAATAGGATCAAACCTTGTGGAGCAACGGAGACAAATGTTCTAATACCGTATGTATTTTCGAAGGCTATGAAGAACTTGATAAATTGGTCCATCTACAAAAAAAACAAGAGACTTATTATATTGTATTTGAATTTGGAGCTTTTTTCATGGCAAGGAAGCTATGTACTTCTAAACGAAAAGATCGCCTTGCAGAAGATAAAAAGACATCGTAATAGAAACATGCATTCAATGTTTATATTCTGCTCTTGAGTCAAGATGTTGAACTCACAGTAAGTTCATGATACATGACAGGTATTATCCACGGGTCAGCAGCAGACGAGACACATCCTTCATTGACGTTAGCCGGGAAAAGCTGCATGCTGGCGTGGATAAGCCTTCTGATAGGTCGGCCATTCACAACAAAAAATATAAACAGACAGGGAGAAGGCTTGTTAAAGCGCAGTACAGTGCAGGACGATCTGCTTGAATATTGATGATGTGTTTTATATACCTATGTGAAAGGAAAACAGTTTAAGGACCTTTTCTTCCGTAAATTTATCATCTAATGGTATAAGCTATTTTTATGTCGGTCTACTTGAAGGAATTTTAAATATTACAAATAGCAGGCAGGTGAGTGTTGATGTTTTGTTTATATCGTCAGAAGATAACACTAGCGAGGGGGAAAGCGACACAACAGACGAGGGCTAGTAAACTTCAGTGAATAAAAACTTTATTTCACATAACTTACGTCGTCATTGTAAACTATACGAGACTGTCACGATGTGGGAAACAAAAACACGAACGTACAAAAACCTCTATCAATAAAACTTACCGTGAATTCTCTGTTTATGAGTACAAAAAAATTGGGTTTTGTGTCATTTCTAGAACGATATTCGTGTGTTTAAAGTGACGATGTTATTTTGTATTTAGCAATGTTCTATAATCTGGCAAGAGAAGTCTTGACCATTAGCAATCACTTTAACATCTCAGAAAATGAATAGTCCTCCTTATTCCGTAAATAGGTCCAGTGCAAAAGTTCACTGTCATTTCTTATAGATTCTTTTTAACCGCCCCTTCTCGTTCATCTGTTGTTTTTATTTAATTTTTTTTTTTTGAATATTTAGTTTCGATAAGCAACATTTGATGAGCTGTTTCCCTGTGTCACATAAATGATTTTATTTCATTATTAATTTTTTTGTTTTGTTTATTTGTTGTTAGACGTCTTATCGAATATTTTTCACTCATATTTAGCCGCTACCTAGTGCTGTTGGGGAGGGGGCTGCAAATTTAGACTTGTGTTCAGTACTTATGGCAGTGAGGGATCTTTTTCGTGTCATAACCCTCTGCAAAAAGTCGGTTTATAGGGATCGTCTCCACGTCCCGCGGTGGGATTCGAATCTGGGACGTTTTCCAAAATCACACTTTATAACTAAAAAACATATAAAATTGTAAAAATTAAGAATCCCTTTTTCTCAACAAATATCGAAAAAAACAACAACATGAAATTGGAGTTGTTTAATCATATTTATTTACCTGCCTCTTTAACTGGCACTTTCCTTGTTTGAAATATTTATTAGTCTCTAAATTATTGAGGTCAATCCATTATAGTGACAAACGAAAGTATGGGATATACATTGTAATTTGTGTGGGGGGAAAGGGGCTAGGGTAGAGATAAAGTTGATGGGATATATATATCAGAATTGTCCTTTTTTCTAGACTATTTAGAGGTTGAGTCAGCATCCACCATTTTATCCTCTTCAGAAAACAGTTATTCAACAAATATTTGGAAACATGCAGAATATTTTTCATTTGATGTACACCAAGGCCACTCAAAATTGTTTCTGATATTGCTTTTGAGGGGGCTATGTTGCTCTAAATGATTTTTCCATAAGCAAATAACCATGGTAACATTTATCGTTAATGATCCAACATTCGGTAATTAGGTTGCTTTAATTGCATTTCACTAGCCAGATGAGGAGAAAAACAGTGTAGTAAATTAACATGAGGTCTGGGACCTAACAAGCTAAAATAGTTCTAATAAGAGTTCAAAACTAGTTCAAGTACACGTCTTTATCAGACTTTTTACATTACGTACTGTAGGAATTTGCTTGAAAAAAAAGTTATATACATAGACTTTGGAATGTTTTATCTCCATGTTAATGCCTGGCTTACATTTACTAAGCAATTTGCAGTTAAGTTTGTGTCTGCCCCTTCATCAAGCGTATGCATGCATTATGGCTAGTTATACGTTCATGCACAATATTACGTTGAGCTTTTAATATGATTAGACAATGGAGTGGAATATGTGTGCAGAAACGTGCCTGGAGAATGTTTATTTTCGCTGACAGATAAATGGACCATAAATTAAGTTCTCTAAAAAACACTGATAAGATAATTACAACAAATTTCCACAGTATTTTTTTTTTAGAACACCATAGCTCAGTTGTAATTCTTTGAAAACATTTTGACATAAAACTTAAAGAAAACTGTGTATTTTAAAAGCAGTCATTAGTCTAAGAACTGTGAAAATAGGTTCCCTTCAGTCAAAAGTTTTAACCTTGTATGAAAAAGCCATTGTAAAATGTGTATTGTGCCATCATAAGTTTTACATATTGAAATTTGCATGTATATTTAAAAATTTGAAAGAAAAGAACACCCACTCTTAGGAAACCAAACTCAAGACAATCTGAACAAAAGGCAGATGTGAAACCAATTTTGTCATTAAAGAAGATGTTTTCATCAAGAAAATACTTAAATGTCTTGTAAGCTGTTTTAAAGTTTACTTGATATGATATGCTGGTAATTCTCAAGTTGAATGTAGAATGCACTTATTGTTTTGATATCCAGAAGTTGGGAGAGAGTTCAGTAGGGCTAGAGCCCATATTACAACATACCTTAAACCTTATAAGGGGTTTACCTTATAAATCATTTTACTGGTATTTCCTATAAATCTAGATCTCTGTGACACATTTCAGAGTGCACTGTCTGTCCCCTCTTTGTCCTCTCTCTGATCTCGAGATATCTGATCTTCTTTTCTACAGCTTAAGGGGGGATCTCCATTCTCTCTCTTTTATTTGGTAATCTGGTTCCCTTTGTTGCTGGTGTCAAGAGGCTGTGGGGATTTGATCTGCGATTGGTACACTTACCACCTTAAATTAGTCTTTCACACACTTAATTGTGCTCATTGGGAATTTCTATTAATCTGAAGTAGTTTTCTCAAATTTCAGGATCTGGAAAGAAATAAGAATTTAAGTTCGGCACAATATGATTCTCAGTTTGATAAGATTCAAAAAAAGCCCTTGGGTATCTGGTTTGAAGGATATTGTCTGACATTGTGTATTGATGACAATTATTCTGATTGAAAATGAAAGTACGTATAATAGCAACCTCTGTTTAAGATATAGTATGGTATGGAAAGGGTCAATAAACTGGCATTTTATCAAAGTTTCTGAGAAACATCCACTTTTTCAAGGACTCTCTGATAATAGTTAAAGTGAAATTTACCCTTTGATGTTTACATGTATCCATAATGTTTATCTGACATGTAAAAACTTCACTTTAATTAAAGGCTTCAAGATTACAGAAAATTTTTACCTTTGTTTTTTTAAATTACCATTTTATAATTTTTAATTGTTTTCATTCTCTCAAAAAAAATCTTTGATCTATAATCTTCTTTTCAATATTTAGGCCCACTTGATTTATAAAGAGGAAGAAAGAAAGTAAATTTTGGTTCTTTCTTGAATTTTTAACCAATTAGCATTAGTGTGATGAAAGGATACCACATAGCTGGTCAATAGACTACAGGGATAATTAGCTGTTAATTGACATTCAGTTTATTCAGACACCCCCATGACCTGGTCACAGTGTGTTTATACATCTATTGTAATCTCCCAATTATAAAACTTTAATTGACAATAATTGGTTGTTTTATGTACCTGTAAAAAATATAATTAATCTCTCAATAGGAAGAAAAACAAACAAACTGGTTGTGCCGGAGAGTTCATTTCTTTTCTACCTTAACTAAGAAATGTTCTGATCAGTGACAAAAAGAAAAAGAAAGAAAGGAAAAATCCAGAGATGTAAGTATATAATTATCTGAATTTTAGATGTTTATAGTTGTCAAATAATGAATGTTAAATTACCTGATTTTTTTTCATTTTTTTTTTTATTTTTAATTTTAATAAAAATTAAAATTAAAATGAAAATTTCGCTTTTAAAGTAATGGCAATTCTTAATTAAATAGGTACTTGAAAAATTTACTTTATACTTGATATTTTTGTGGTTTATTTTTTAAGAAAGGGGGGGATACATCAGTGAATGCTAGTTTAATTATTCTTATACTGTAAGAGTTTGTATTCTTTTATAAGAACATAAGAGTAACTCTTCCACTTTTACTCTGATTAAGCAATACATGTGGCTAAGACCAAGAATAAAACATGTAAATTGTTTCAATTTCCTAAATTAAATCACCCTCTGAATTCTCAACCCCATAAACCTAACCAAAATTATATAGACACTGTCTACCATAGCATTATATCTAAATCTAGCATGACCAGGACAAATTAGTCACCAGTAATGCTCATAGCCAGTAAATCAATAAGAAGATGGAATAGCTTCATAACAGCCAATTATCTGCTCATGTTGCACCAATCTCCATACAGCAGCAAAAATTTTTATCATGGCAGGTGCTTGTTCATGTACAAATAACATTGGTGGCCTGTGTTTGTAAAAATGCTCGGAGTTTCTATGAAGGTTAAAAGGATATGACTATATTATACAGTTGCAAACCCCTTGCTTTTTGGAATGTAAAAATTTTTGTGTTACATATACAGCTGTAATTGGGAAAACTTTCTTTGATAACTGAAAGGATGTTGATAAACAGAACACATTCTGGTAAGATGCTAAGATTTTTTTAGCTAATTACTTTTAAAACAGTTTATCAAAAGAGTATCTGGAACTTCCTACAGATTGCATTGGATAGTTTCAATGACACAGCATGTTATGTCAAGAAGTGCAGATTTTAATAGCTGAATGAAAATTATAAAATAGCTGACTATAGATAAATTTTAAATACTTCTATTATTAAAGTAAAGTTTTGCCAGACTTGATTTGAAATAATTCATCTACTATATAAATTATTTCTACTTAAGACTACATTCAAAGTAAATATTTTTTCCATCAAACAGAATTTCTCGGCAGGAGTTAAATCACAGTTTGTTGACTTAACAAATGTTATTTGTGGGCTCCTGGCTCTTAGATGGGGTTCTTGCTCAATTAATTGTACAACAGGTGCCCCTCAATTTAAAGAAGTTATGCAAAAGTTTGAACAAAATTTTCTGAACAATTTCTCAAGAAAATTAGATTAAAATGAAGTGTTTTTCTAGCGCAAACAAATTTGTCCCATGAAAATTAAATATTTTGACAAATGTTATGTAAGAGGGGTTTCGCATTAAATCTTATATTTATGCAAGAGATTTTTAAAGTTAAGTAGAGCTTACTAAATTGAGGGCCGTGAAATTGTACTATTGTCTAGGGATTGGAAAATAAAAATAAATTAGTTTGATATGCAGATTAATTTTGGAGAGGGAAAACACGTACGCTTTGAAGAAAGCGGCAAACAAGTATTTTTTTTATAACAAATAAATTATTTATAAGTTTCAAGAAAAATAAGAAAATAGATACAAATATGGTACTTCAACTTAAATTAAAGAATAATATAACTATCCAATATAATAGAAAAAAGAATACATTTCAATATCTTTCACTTGAATAAAAAATGTACATGTATCCTTTTCAATGCTTTTGCTGCAATATCATTTTATTCCCTGTTAAATTACTTAAATGATGCCAATAAGAATTAAGAGAAGGTTCATATTTTTGTCACAGAGAAAAACCTTTCATTGCATCTTATTTGTATTTATGGGAGAGAGTGAAATTTTTATAGACCTTAGTAATATTTCAATAATTAAATTCAAGAGGAATCATATTTTAACCACCAAAATTGTGTCCTTCCAGGGTCTTTAAAATCCTACCTCAGAAAAGGATTTCAACAAAGTTTTGAAAAAAAAGAATTTATTTGCCTGTTAACATCATGTTGAAGGTTAACAATCACTCAACATACATTTGTAGTGTTATTTGTTATTACTACATGTGTCAAGTCTTTTAAAGTAGGCAAAAAAGAAATAATTGTACACAAAAATAACTAACGTTTGTCCAAACAAGATTAACATAATATCAGGTGGTTTATTTACTTTGAGATGAAAGTAGCTTTTTGTAGCCTTTTTGGCCTCTAATCCTGAGCAAATAAAACCTGCTTTTGACTCAGTGTCAGAAATATCAAGTACCCATTCTATCTCTAAGCATGGCTAACACCACAAAAAAATGAAGTTTTCCAATGAAAACACAGGTAAAGAGAACATTTATCCTTGAAAAAGGCATGATAAATATTGGGGGAAGTTTGTACAGCCTAATTCTGTCATTTATGCTAATGAGTATTCTTTTTTTTTTCTGGCCACCACATTTATAGTGTGTGACACAAACCAATATGCATGTAGAAGTGTGTATGTGTTTTCTAATGATGCATTTATATCTGCATGTTGTTTTGACATTTAGTTTGTGAGCTCTGATGCATGTATAGCCAGTTGTATGAGGAATCAATTACTGTGAGTTTTTTTTAAACATATAATTAAGAATTTTTTTTTTCAAAAACCAATGAACATATATTTCATTAAGAATTTATTTTCTTGAATTCTTTAATCGCAATAATTTTTGCGTTTATATATCTAATAATTATGTTTAGGCCATTAAATATTTCATGATAAAAAAACACAACAAAAGGTAAATATATTTTTGTGTTTTGTAATTTCTCCAATAATTCTGTACAGTAATTATTGCATTTAATCCATTGTTTTTGCTTTAATATTTCGCAATTAAAGCAATTTAGTTAGATTTTTGAAGGAAGTCATTTTTATGACTTTTATATTTGTGTTTTTTTTGCTAATATTTTTGATGTTTATGGCCTTATATGTCAAAATATCTGATATTTAAGTATATTCATACCATGTTCACCTTTTGTAAGATAATGGAATATTGGGTTTTTTAATATTTTTTATTTACCAGGACTAAAGTAATAACTACAATGTATTGATAAGACAATAAAAAGTTTCTTATCTAATTTGAACACAAGGCAGATGGTAATTAATCTCCACAGAATCCATATGTTTGGTTCGGTTCTTCATACTGACCTTTTAATGCGTCAAAGCTGCGTGTCCACATGTTCAATTGTCAGGTGAAAACTTACTGAACTAACTCTACAATCAGAGCCTGAAAAGACAAAAACACAGAGATTATCATATCTTTTTTTCATATAGAAGTGTTTTTGCACTTTAAAACTCCACAACTTGCAATAAAAAAATATTACTCTTAAGTGTGTTTTGGGTGAGTTTTTAAAGAGATTAAGATAATGTTTTTAAAGTGTGATAATGGAATGTAAAAGGGCTATTTAGATAAAACCTTAAATTCCTCATGTCTTGGAATGTAGTGGAGAAAGATGTTGAAATGTGAGTAAGGAACTTTCAGACCATGTTCACATCTTAAAATTTATATTCACAGTTCTCTTCAATGTAAATGTATGTCATGTTTTTCTTGTTTTAAATTGTGTTTTTGGATTGAAACAATTGCAAACCATACTAAATGCCTGTTTAGCCTATGAACTCTGGTGCATATAATTGTAATCAACATTGATCTATAAAATTTAGAAAGAAATAATTTTTACGGGGATACTGAAACATTAGGCTACAAATTGATTATTACAATTGTAAATGTGCATCTTAATTCATTATATATGACAAACTCATAAAATTTAAATATAATTACACTATAATTCTTTTTTAATAGTTAAATTAAACTAAAAAGCCCCAAGGATATTTTTTTAGCATGGATATAATAATGACTGCAATTAAAATTCTTCTGGTATAGAGATAAAGATTTTTATCATTCTTTTTAATAATGGAAACCTGATAATATTTAATGTCACTAAACATTTTTGTCACATTTACTGCTCCATGTTTATCTATTTTATTCACTGTACAAATATTGATGGGCTTTATTCAAAGCGCCTCACAGTTATTAATAGAACAATAAAGATTATAATAATGAAAAGAATTCCAGTGAAAGAACAAGGCTTTATACAGATATCAAGGTGTTCTGCATTTTTTCGATTTATCACCTGTCATCCAGTAATGAGTTAGAAATTGATTTCTAACGAGATACCTCCAGGTATAAATGCTGGATTATTGAATTTGTTGTGTTAGGAGATGTAAGATGTCTAATTGCACTTCATTTAAAAGTATTAGTACCCCCAGGTACAAGGTATAGTGGGTTTCATTTTACTATGTAGTAATCAGCATTTCATGGAGGTCCATTCATTGATAAGATCTGTAACAGCTTCTAGTATATACAGTACATGTACTTGATTTGATGGTAGTTATATTGTTAGTATGATATCAGTTTCACTGGATGTTTAAAGCTCATGCTGATTAAGTGCAGAGGGTTTGATCCTGTTGTCAAATGTATAGGTAAATCTCTCTCCATTTTCTCCCCCCCCCCCTCTCTCTCTCTGAATGTAGAATATGACAGTATAATTATAAATCTCAGACTGTTAATAAGTAATGATTAAAATGGTTATATGTTCTAAGGAGATCAGAGGGCTATATATTCAGAGAGTTTTATGTCAAGAAAAGTATAATTATGTGCTATGTGTATTACTGATAGCTAGAGACTTTGACCTGATTTCAGGATTTTTCATCAAACGAAAGCAGTTCTAATAGTCCATTAGTTGACGCTACTATCAGCATGATCACCGATCGCCCTCAAAATAGTCCTATAGTCACTGTCAGCAGTGATAATCAGTGAATTGAGTAACATCTCAAGTATGCTGTAAAATTACAAGAGGCGGAATCTTTAAGAGAATTAGTTTCAAATAGAGAGATTAATTGGTTCCTATATGTATGCATTTAATGCACAACTGGAATCATATTAAATATGGGATTTTAGTTTGGATCTAAACATGCATGCTTCAGTTTAAGCTCTTCAATTATGAAAATTTTTATTTGATAATTTTTTTTATATATTAATTGCTTCTTCTTAATCTAATTCAATCTGTTAGACTTTTTAAACTAGTTTTCTGTAATGAATTCAGACAAATGTTCTCAATTTTCTATAAATCATAAGTGACCACGCAGTAAATAATGCTAAAATAAAATACATGTTTATTAAAGTGTCTAAGAATTATATCAATTACTGTAATCCTGAAAACTGCTTCTGATAATTTTTTTTCATAGCTAATAAAATATTTGACACATATTGTTATGCCCCCCTCCCCCCCAAAAAAAATCACATGAATGTATAAGCCAGTTAATGAATCCAATAAATGTCAGTTTGTCCCACTTTAGTATTCTTGGGCTTGTTTCATTTAATTTTCTCTTTGAAAATGTTGTTACATTGTATTTAGATGTGTCTCTTTAATTTCTTTGTAGGCTGAGATGATAACAATCTGCCTCCCTTTGCTCTAGGTAGCTACAGGTGTTTCACTTTGATGTCCCGACCTTAAGGTAATGTATTCTATTTGTGTTGTTAATGATTACACCTCTACAAATGACAATTACAGGTTCCCTTATTGTACATACTCTTGTTAATTCAATTTAGCTGTGATGTATGGGGTCTTACAAGAAATTTTTTTCTTGAATTAAGCCTTTAGGCCAATGACCAGGTGCCCATCTACTTTCACTTATACCAAGATATATATTATATAGGGCTGTACATGAATTTAAACTTCAGGAGCTGACACCTGTGTTTTGTATAATTGTGGAGCTTGTTAGTTACTTTATTAGGCTTGAGGAAGAAAAAGTAAAATCAATAGTTGTCTGAATTATAACCCTTGGACTTATCCGGGGTTAAAATAATCAAGCCTCTCAGTAAAATATATAACGATTTTTAAAATGATTAACTAATATAACTTAACTTAAATGACGTCATTGGCACAACATTGGTGGACCCTCCCCCATCCCCTTTATTTTTGTAGTTTTTTTTTCTTCTTTTAATAATATAGATGTTTTTACGTCTAATATTTTGAATTAAATAAGAAGTTCAATCTCTGCCCTTTCACTTTGCTTGATAGAGAAATGAGAATGGAAGATTCCAGCATACTTTTTTTTTGCATTTCAATTCATTTTGGACGTTGCCAAATTTGAAAACCATTACCTTGACACAGACTTGAAGTGTCTGTCATGTGATTCTCTGCATTTGCTTTTAGAGAACCAAACTGGACCCCCCCCCCCTTTCAAAAATTGCTGGATCCACCTCTGCACATTAAAAAAAAATTGCACTTGTAGCATTGTTGAAGTCTTATAGAGTATATATACCCTATCTATATCTCTATCTATAGATATGTATATACATGATGTATTTCATCAAAAATATTATCTGATTATATCCCACCATTTATCACTGTTCAGTCTGTGGATCTACACTGCAGTCTGCAGAAGTAAAATGGACTGTATATAATGTGCAAAGAAATGAAGTCCTTGCTGTCTTATTCCTTATGAGTTATTGTCATTAATTTAAAAATTATGCATCAATGCCACTCACTACGACGACGGCTGCTGCACCAATGTATGCTCTTCACACATTCTCCCCAACCAGAGTTGACTCTACATTGACTGATTTTGAGTTACGCCCCTTGTAAGTGGAACTCTCTAAAATTTGAAGGTTCATATGTTATTCAATGTCGAACAAAACTGGTTGTCAGTCGACTTTGTTTTGGGGAGATGATTAGTTGTGTGATTTTCTCTAAATAAATAATGTTTCGACAAAAGGATGAAGCAAAAATGTAGAATGTTAAGAATTAAAACTTTGACATAAGCAGGGACATGTGAGTATATCATAAAAAGATGCAGGTATCGTGTTGACCCACTTTCTCCCAAATCTGTGGACTATGGAATGTGTCTGCCATCACCTGTTTTTTGTTAGTCATTTGACTTGTCTTTTATTCGTCATTCATACATTAATTGTCATATATTTTTCTCTATAAATAGCAAATTTATCTTGATATCTAAATAATACCTCAAAACATAAATTACAAAGGAACCGTTGAGAATTTTTATAATAACCTGATAACGGAAATGTTTATCATATTGATACAGCATATAGCCCTTTATTGAATATTAGTTGTAGTCATGGTAGTAGAGACTTGGTTTTCATCCTACAGACTTTTTAATGGTTCAATTTTTCTGTTTTGGGATTCAAAAGTTTAGCTAACAAAAGAAATAGATTAGGCTATCTTTCATAAACTCAACCCAAAATTTTATTGCACACTTTTATTTTATTTAAAAGTTATTTTTTATATAATTTGTGATTTTGTATAGGTAGTTTTCCTTGAATGCCATAATTGTACAGTGATTTTATGTTTTAGGTGTTAGAATAAACATGCCCCGAGCCAATCTTAAACTCCTGGTAGCATGTGCGGGCATCTTCACTCTTCTTCTGACAGTCTACAACATCGGGAAATGTGATCTTACCAAGAATGACAACAACGTAAACAGGTAGAGTTTTTAATATAACATTTAGTTAAATGTTAGTGTATGTGTACTTTAAAAAGGATTTATATTTTAATGGTTTTGGTTCAGAAAAGTATGTGCTAGCTAGGTTAATTTATGACACTACTGCAAAAAAAATCATTATTAAGTAAGCAGCCCTGATGTGTGGTGTGATCATAAGTAGCACTAAATGGTGATAATGCCAACAGCTTCATACCCAATCATTGCATTAAATTTGGTGAAATTTAATGCTATTTAGCAGTAAAATCTTAATTTATATTGATATTTCGTTTTATAAAAAAAATTAAATAACAAAAAATTTCATGTGAATGCAATTGAAAAAAAAAAGAAGTAAAATTATATATGTGTATTTTCATTTGCTTAATTTTTTGTGTTCTTTTTTATAGAGATGATAAATTGCCTCATCTTGACAGTGAGTTTGATGGCTCAGTCCAGGGTTTTCAGCCCAGAGCAGCACAATCTTACACACATGCCAAGAGAACCAATAAATTGGACTATGAGGAAATCGAGTGTGTCATTAATGGAGACTACTCTGTGAAAGGAAGAAAGGATGGGAATGAAGTTTACATGCCATTTTCATTCATCCAAAAATACTTTGAGGTTTATAAAGCATATTTTTATAATCAGTCATGAAGGACATCACTTGCAGTCATGATAATTAATCCACAATTGATTTAATATATTTATAAGAAGAACTACCTTTTTAAATCTTAATTTTGTTGCATATAATAGGTGTATGGTTCCTTGGAGACATCTGACGGATACGAGAGGTTTTCATTCCACCACAGTTACCAGGATGACTTCCCATCTGGACCTGCACCTAAGTACTCCCCCAGTGGTGTCTTTATGTCATTTGATCTCTACAATGTGGAGGACAGGAATAGGGTGAAATGTGTTTGTGGCATTGAAGGTAAGGCCAGCATTTTTTTATTTTTAGGTTTACAAACCCGCCGCTCAAGTTTTTGAATTTTCAGAAAAAAAATAAAATTGAGAAAAACAGAATTTTTTTCTTCCCGATGTCAAATTTGAGTCAGGATCGAGATTTCAAATTTACGAGATGAACATGGCGGGTAATTTTTGCAAAGTCCATAGCAGCACTAAAGCTTTGTTTAATGTTATCGATAGGAGTGCAATTCAAAACGTTTTACAAGTTCAGAGGACAAATAAAATGCTGAAGACTTTATTGCACAATGACATGCTGGTGAGATAATTATGTATCCGTATTCAAAAGTATCTGTCTGTAAATTATTTTCCTCCCAAAGGTTTAAAACTGTCCATGGTAGCTTTTGTCAAAGACATTGTTTAAGTTTCTGTTATAGCTTACAGTCTTATAAGCATCATTCTTCAGAAAAGGGTGGCTTATGCACCAGATGTAATGAATAAAACTATGGGAGAAGTTAAGTCCATTTGAGGAAGAAATAAACAATAGCCTAAAGAAATAAAATACTTCAACTGTTAAAAACAAGTATTATATACAAATATATACAGGTATGTAGTATCGTTTGTGGCAGCCAGAAAAATTAATTTACACTTACTAAAGTTACTTTAAAAAAATTCACCCTACTCCCCAATACTCCCTGTCTGTTTCATGAAAGGATCATTAATTTAGGTCTCAAGTATATTTTAGAACAATATCTACAAGTAATTTACCAAAACATATTAAAAACAAAAATGAAGATATATTGAAAGAGTTTTGAAAAATTGATTTTTTTAAATATCTGTATTTTGTCCAACATAACAAAATATATATATCACTGGCCCCAACTGGTAGATGATGAAATAAACAAAGGTTCTACTTTCCCCTTTGTACTCCTTATGCGTCCAGTGGCATGGAGCCTGTTAGGAGAGCATAAAAAGAAGAAAAATTAATGTACAAAAGTTTCTAATTTTATTTTTTTTTTTATTTCCTCCTCCTACGCCTTCTGATTTTTAAAAATAAAAAAATGCTGGCCTAAGTACTCCTTTACACCTGTTTTCATTGTATTTCTGCCTGTTTTTTTGCTAAACATGTCTGAAATGAAAAAAATGTCATGAAATTTTTGTCCATTAATTGAAAAATAGTTTGTGCATCATATTAATATACCAGTAATATACAAAATATAGACTTAAAACTTTATATAATCACAATAAGGCACTATTGAGGATAATACTTTTGACACACTAACTTGACTTTGCACTGGCTATGCTAATAATACAATGGTGCAAAAGTGGGCTACCTGCTTTTACAAATAAACATGTCGTTAATGCCTTGAAGTAATAATTTAAAGAGCTGTGATATTTGATTTCCAATGTCATTCAGCATTTACTGACTAAAGAGGAATAACTCTTACTTGAATTGATTTCAGGTGTTCCAATTTCAACACAGTGGGATCCCAAAGGGCATTATTACCCTATACAGATAGCCCAGTTTGGACTGAGTCACTACAGTAAACAGCTAAACCAGCCAAAAAACAAGGTCAAGATTCTAGAAGATGGGGAGAAAACCGATCTCTCTGATTGGCTGCTTCCAGATTCAAACTCCGAGATTCAGAGCAGACTGGATGAACGCACATCAGTTGATAATGCAGTAGTTGAATTCAAGACTTCTCGTAAGGAGTTTAAATTGTAGAAGCAAATTTATTTCTTTATATTTTTTTTATAAAGAAATAGTAGTTAATTTTTTATAAAAATCAATGAAATTTCTGAATATGTGCAGATGTAAAAAAAAATATATATTTTCACCAGATTATACATATTTAACTATGTTATAATATTGTTTAAAAAATGGTTTTAACAGCTTTTGTTGATGAAAAGTTTAAAGTTATCATTGATTAATTGATTTACTTGATTTAATTTCACTTTGTAGCTGACATAAAAAATTCAGGAATTGCCATATCAATAAATGAAAAGAAGTTATCAACACTTTCCATGGATCTCAAATTCATAAATGATGGCAGTGTAACTGTTATAATAAAAATGGGAGATGGAAACTTGTTCCGTATCCATTATGTGCTTAGTGACACTGTTATGAAGTTAGAAGGCAGTCGTGATCTTTATTATGGCCTTGGAGCTTCCAGAAAAGGAAAGTGGTTTCACTTAACTAGATTATTATTAACCGATTTCCAAAAAGGATTGAATTTACAGTATTCAAAAACTCGTACCTCCAGAATGAAAAACGCAGCCCGTATTTCTGCCATATGTGTCCGTGGGCATGGACTAATGGACAATGTCACAGTCTCTGCACATGCCCACATGGACTTATTTTACGATGCTGCAAACTACCTGGTGCGGCGTCAAGATTCACGGGGAGGTTGGCCCGTGATGGTGCATCGTAAATTAATTCCAGAGGTCATGGAACTAGAGCCAGGGTGGTATTCTGCCATGGGTCAAGGGCAGGCCATTTCTCTCCTTGTACGTGCCTACATCGTCTCCAAAGACTATAAATATATAGAGGCCGCAGGCAAGGCCCTCAATATTTTTGACATTCCAAGCTCCAATGGAGGAGTGACTTCCAAGTATCTCAATGTGTATAACTGGTATGAGGAATACCCTACAACGCCTAGTAGTTTTGTGCTAAATGGATTTATGTATTCTCTCATAGGTCTGTACGACCTTAAAGAAATAGCTAATGGAAGAATCAGCGAAAAAGCTGAACAACTATTTAACTCCGGAATGAGGACTTTAAAAACAATGCTTCTTATGTTCGACAGTGGTACGGGGACGTTTTACGACCTTCGACATATCACGGCGGGATTGGCTCCTAATCGAGCTCGATGGGACTACCATAAGGTTCATATAAACCAGGTTGAACTGTTGAGTGAAGTAGACAAAGATCCATTATTTTCTAGTACTGTCGAGCGATGGAAAGGCTACATGAAAGGGAAGCTTTCACCTCACAACTAGAAAACTGCAATAACAGAGTTTTGTATAAAATATTTCTTTTAGTTAATGTGATATTTTTTTTTCTAAATTAAAGAAATTTAGTTTCATTATTTAACAGATGTTTTAATGTTAATATAGCTCTGTTATGATGAAACTGTATTTTTTTCTTATCATTCCAATATTGTTTGAGGGCTTTATCTATATTTATATAGATTTTATATTCCATATTGTCCCATTGGTGCTGTATGAATTTAATTTTATCAAGATACAGGACTGAATTATGTTTTAGTGTATGCCTAGGTTTTTTTTTTAAATAAATTTAATTTTCTAAATGACACAAAATTGTTCACATTTTTAAGAGTAATGTACACATATCGTGACATTTATATACATGTACATGCATGTTCAAACAATAAAAATCCTGCATTCATATAATTTACAATAACAACACAAGCTATATCACCCGAATTTTTTGTAAGTTCATAGTAAATTCATCAAGATATACAATATTCTGAAAAGGGATCCTACACTGATGTTGTATCTAAGAAGTGTTGTTTACAGATTTTATATCATCTGTTTTATACATTTGTAAAAACAAAAGTGTAGTTTTGGCATTTATATATTATTCATTTGTATCATTATTAATTTACACATTTATAAACCTAATTGTATCAAATACATACATGTATATCACTTACAAAATATTTTACAGTTTATGGTTACATGAATTTCATTCATTAAAAAATATTAATAGGCTAGTTCCTAGAATATATGTATATACATATGTCATTTTTAGGGGTCTATGCAATTTATTCATGCAATGGATCTTCGAGATAAATAAACAGTAAAATATGTTTAAACAAAAGTGCCATGGATAGACAGTTTTTCTTTTGATTATTACAAACCTATCAATATATCTGTTAAGTTTGCAATGTAGTTTAAAGCCACTGAAAATGAAAATCACATTGCCTAAGCATGTTTTACTGTTTCATGTACTTGGACGATTTCTTCAAGAAAAGTGATTTTAGTGGATTTTTTGAAGATATGATTATGTTCACAATTTCATTTTTGTAGATGTATTCCAGAATCTTTATTTACTTGTTTTTGCTCAATTGATTTCTCATTTGTGGGTTGTTCTATCTGATAATTTTGTTTATCATAACAATATTCAGGGCTTACTCTGTTTGTAGAGTACAAATATATCTTGATTGTAATTTAATTGGAATATCATATATTGTTATCTTCACTGAAAGACAACATAGAAAAGAAGTTAAAGAACTTTCCCTTTGTAATGAACATGGTGAAGGATTAAATGATCTCCATTTCATTTTTGTCACAGGTAAGCAACAATTAAATAGGCATTGATCGCTTGACCATGGTATGGTGATATCGACACATAGTACATGTTTATATTTTAAAGAAATATTACTATTGGTCAGCTAATTCAGGTTAGCTTGATACCTGTTCAGATTTACCTATGTACTTTTAAGCATTTTATATTTCTGTCAGATGGGGGTATATTTCAATGGTGCTTCTGTGTATAATATTTGATTGAATTTAACATGATGAAATCATGTTTGTGAGTGTTGCATTGACATTCCATAAAATGACTGTTGTGTATATCATCATGTATACTGTTTCATGGAATATCAAAAGATTTTCTTATATTTTTATAACGTGTGAGTGTAAAAGTTGTCTGCTTTGTGTTGATTCAAGAGAGACTGATGCCACATGGTCGGGATGTCCATTGTGGAAGTGTAAATGTACATGAATGAAATTCATGAAGAAAATTTAACTGCATTTGTTATTTCATCACAATACTCTGTTGTCACTATAACCTGTCCTCATAAGAAATGAAGGCAGACAATTAAAAATTTAAAAACATTTATATTTTTGTCATGTTTCATTGTTGAACTGTCATTTCCTCAGTTTGGATACATTACTATCAAAGGAACTTGAAACAATATTTTACTTAACTGGATTAAGTTGGGACATTTTTGTATCAATTTGGAAGATTGACTGTTCATTGACCCACTTACCTACCCCAACTCCCTACCCCACACCCTCTCAATTCCTAGACAGTGGAGAACTGAAGGAAATTGTTGCATTATTGTAATTTCTATTTCCAGAAGCTTATCCAACCACATATTATGTTTTATAAACCTAATTAAAGCCTCATTCTGCAGATGCCTTGAGTTACTAATTCTTTTGGTCTGATAACATTTGTCTGAAGCATGATATTTTCTTTATCCTTGGCAAAGTTAGGCTTAAACTTGAGTAGAGGGTGTGCATTTTTTAGGTCAGCTTGTCAATTCCTTCACCAGAGTCTTATTTTCTCTCCATTTGGCCTAATTTGGTTCAAACTTCACACATAGAAGTGCTTACATTGTAGTAGAGGATGTGAAGTGACCTTGAACCCAAAGCCCAGGGTAAAGAAATAACTTCTCTTGAACCCAAAGCCCAGGGTAAAGAAATAACTTCTCTTGAACCCAAAGCCCAGGGTAGAGAAACTTCTCTCTCTAAGTCCCTTATCCAAAGGAGTAGATTCCAGATTGTTCAAAGCATGACCCCGGGAATAGGGTGAGGCTGCAATATGGAATCAAAATTTACATTGTAATATGTAGAAAAAATCACTCAGAACCAGAAAAGATGAAACTAACGAGATCGAATCATGTGCCCAAGCGGTGGGATGAGGCTACCTAGGGGATGAAAAAGGAAAAATATTTTTTTTCTAAAAACCACTTTTAAAAAAGATGAAACTAGGTGAATGGTTCCTGACGAAGTGTAGGTTGTAAATTTTATAGGCCTTGGTCCCCAGGGATGATTTGGGGACACAATAGGGAATCAAAGTTTGACATATGAATATACATGAACATGTACAGTTGTTTATGCAAATTTATTTTTTGCTAGTTAACTAACAAAAGCCATTATTATCATATTAATTAGGAAGAAAAGTTTGGCATTGTAGATTCAGATTTATTCATATCACTACTCCCTGCTCCTCCCCTGAGGGTAGGAATATAAGGGATTAGTTGATATTTGGGAATCAAAGTTTTGCAAAGAAATACTAGTATACAGGACAGACACATACAGGGAAATACCCTTTTCTATAAACTCAAATTCAGATAGGCAAGGAATCGAAATATGGGATTATATGACCAATATTGTTGTCGATTACAAGTATAGAATTTTGATTTGGATTAATGTTGCACATTTACGTATTAGGTATGGGGTTATTTTTACTTTTATTTTAAATATGTAACGTCGAGTGCATTTGAGGGAAAAAACTTCACAAATCTTCTCAAGAACAAAACGCAAGCCTCTCAATTGATCACATAATGAAACCAAAAAATTAGTCAGCTTTTCCTTAACTACAGACAGTCTTGGATAAAACAGGGAAGAAAGACATGACAGTACTTATGGGCGACTTCATTGCAAAGATTGGAGCTAACAACACTGGCTACAATAAATTCTAGGGCACACAAGAACTGGGCTGCATGAATGAAAATGGCGAGAGATTTGCAGATTTATGCTCCGTTAACTAGCCTATTATAGGGGGAAGCATATTCCCTGATTAAATAATTCAAAAGGTCACATGGAGATCCCCCGACTATGTTCAGAGAAACTTTGAAAGGTTTCGGGGTGACGAGAGAAGCAGATATTTCATCTAACCAGCATCCTATGATGGCATTAAGACTATGCCTCACGAAGTTCAACATGACAAACGTGAGGACAAGATACAATGTGAGTCCTCAAAACAAAGAAAGTGAAGACAGCATTCCACCTCAGTTTGTCTAACAGATTCCAGTTGCTACAATACCAGCTAGCAAACAATGACACCAACATCGAGACCCAATGGCAGCATATCAAAGAGATGTGGCAAGACGCATATTAGGAAGTCATCGGCAGATGAAAGGCTCAACACAAAGAGTGCATCTCTGTTGATACCATGAGGATACTGGATGTGCGAAAAGAAAAGAAAGCAGCAATAGACACAATCCAGATAAGAGAAACAAAAGCCCAAGAAGACAACACAGCCAAATTAAGATAAAGAAGTTAAAAAAAGCATCAGGAAAGATAAACGGGATCACATTGACAACCTGACCAAACAAGCTAAAGAAGCATTGGAACAAGGAAACTTGAGAGAACTGTATGGTCACAAAGACAGAAAAACTAGTGAAGGACAAGAACTGGAAACCTCTCACAACAACATAAGAACAATTGAAGTGGAGGGTAGAACACTTCGGAGAGAGATATTAAATAGACCAGCATCAGAAACACCTCCGGACATACAATCAGCCTATACAGACCTCCCCATCGACTGCGACAAACCAACAAACACGGAGATCAGGAGAGCACTTCCCATTACCAAACTTAAGTTTGAAAAGCGCAGGACCTAACGAGACATCAGCAGAAGCCATCAAGGCTGATGCAGAAACGGTTCTTGACATCCTATACGATTCTTCAAGAAGATCTGTGAGGAGGAAACATTCCGAGGAATGGAAAGAAGGTATCATTATTGAGCGCCAAAGAAGGGAGATCTGAAGGAATGTCATAATAACCGGAAAATATGCTCCTGTCAGTGCCTGACAAGATCCTTCTCGAGAGGATGAAAGAGGGAGTGGACCCAAAGCTCCGTGACCAACAGACTGGTTTTTGAGCCAACAGATCATGTACTAAACCAAATAGCCAGTCTGCACATCATCATTGCATAATCATTTGAGTGGAAGCCCCCTCTCTATATCAACTTCATGAGGACTATGAGAAAGCATTCGACAGCGTGGACAAAGAGGCACTGTGGAAGATTCTGAGGCACTGTGTAGTACCCACGAATTAAGCTTGTCTTCCTCGTAACATCTACCAGGAATAATATGCAGGTTTGCCCATGCTGGCAAGATGTCTGAGAGTTCTGAAGGAAAGATAGGATTTAGATAAGGATGTTTATTGTCTACATTAATCTTTCTCTTGGTCATTAACTGGAACATGAGGACTAGCACATCAGGCGGGCAACTTGACGATTAAGACCTTGCCGATAACTTGGTTTTACTTTTGCACAACCGCAGTCAGATGCAGGATAAAATAACTTGCCTCGCAACAACGTCAGCAGTAACAGGACCCAAGATCAACCCGGAGAAAACAAAAAACATTAAGATATACACCAATGTCCATGAGAAAAATTGAGTCCTATCTGGGGAGTGTGGTGGACAGAGCGGGTGGCACAGACACTTACATCAAGTCAAGTACTGTAGATCACTAAATTTTCGCGACGCCTTATTTTCGCGAGATAGTCATTGACTATATCTTTATTAGCGAGACATAATTGTTGTTTTTCCTCAATATAATAGTAAGGAATACTTTTAAACGCGAGACAAAATTTCGCAGTTTTACTAAATTAAAAATTAAGTCCTCGCGAATAAAACGTGATTTACAGAATTAGCAAGGCAATAACTCCATTTACCTTGCTAAAGAACATCTGGGCTTTAAAGAATAACAAAACTGCGGATCCTTAACTCGAATATAAAGTCCGTTCTTTTGTACGGTTCAGAGACGTTAAGGTTGAGGATCTATACATTTTAAACACCTGTCTCGGGTGCATTATTAACATCCCATGGCCTGAAATGATCATAAATGAAGAACTATTTAAGAGAGAAGGACAGGAATCACTGGACATACAAATCAGACAGAGGAAGTAGGGTTGGATGGACACATGTTAAGGAAGTCACAATCCAGCATCACACCCCAGGCCTTGACATGGAACCCGCAGGGCAAAAGAAACAAGGGACGTTCAAGAAACACCTGGAGTTGTTACTCGGAATTAGAAATAAAGACAAAGGATATAACCTGACAACGCAGCAAAAGCAAGCCAGAATCATTTGTTGGAAGTCTGTCGTCGATGGCTAATATACTCTTCACGGAACGACATGCACACATTAGTAAGTATATAGTTGATTCAATATGCATAAGCATGTTCTTAACAATTTCTAGATAAGACTACAGACAAAGAAGTTGATAAAACAATTTTCAAATTCAATGGTCAATAAAATGCCCTTCTTTGCAAACAAGATGTGTTTGTGAAACACATATGCCCCGTATGGCAACAAAGCGAAGGTTAAGCTTTCTCAAATGCATATCAAATATGTTGGTACCTAAAGTAAGGCCTTTTCACAAGAAATACAAATGTGAAATATAAAACCCTAGCACCACCTGTTCAAAGGTTATGACCAAGGTTAACGTTTTTAAAGGTAGGGAAAACTCCGGGTTCAAGGTCCAAGGGTCAAGGTTGTTGGTTTCTAAAAAAAGGCCTTGTCTCAAAGATTACGTATGGGTCGTATGAAAGCGCTGGCCCTTACCCTTCAAAGGTTATGGCCAAGGTTATAGTTTGTAAAAAGTAGGTCAAACTCCAAGGTCAAGGTCAAAGTGTCAAAGTTGTTGATATCCAATAAAAGGTCTTGTCACAAGGATTACATATGTGAAGTATGAAAGCTCTAGCCCTTACTGTTCCAACGTTATGGCCAAGGTAAAAGTTTGTAATAAGTAGGTCACATTGCAAGGGCAAGGTCAAAGGGTCAAAGTTGTTGATATCCAATGAAAGTTCTTCTCACCTGAAGAATTATAAATGTGAAGTATGAAAGCCCTAGTCCTTACCGTTCAAATGTTATGGCCAAGGTTATGGAAATTATCTTGTGACAAGACCTTTCTTTGGGTACCACCAAATTTGACCTTTTGACCTTGGAGTTTGACCCACTTTTACACAAAAATTCCCAACTTTTACTTTGGCCATATCTTTTGAACAGTAGATACCTGGACTCTTATATTTCATATATGTATTTTTTTGTGGCAAGACCTTTCATTGAGTGTAAACAACTTTGACCTTCTGACCTTGGAGAT